ATTATATAGTTTACTGATCTCGTAGGCCTTAATTCCTGTCATCGGAGTCGTGCATGCTACTAACTTGTGATATTACAATCCCCAGAATGCCGGAACTGCTGTCCCTTCTCAAGCCACTGGGTGCGCCCTTTCGAAATTTACCCTTAAACAATGATAACCTGCTAACTTGGAGCCTTGCTCAGTTGGGAGGCTGCCGCGGGAACATCAGTAACTTTCTCAGTTCCGGACAACTGGACCGCTGTAAGCTAATCTGCAATACTTCTAGTATCACGAAGAGTTATACTAACATTCTTATGCTGTAGGGTCGTATCTGGGGACGTACTGATTGCGATTTCTCGGAGGGAGACCTCGCCTGCTCGACGGGTGCCTGCAACGGTGGCCTTGAGTGTGACACCAGCACTGGCACTGGCGTCCCTCCCGCCACTCTTGCTGAGTTCACTCTGGATGGCAGTGGCTCCGACTGGTTCGACGTTTCGATCGTCGACGGGTTCAACCTGCCTGTGTAAGCCATCGTCTCCCTCGACTATACTGCCAGAAGATCACATTTGCTCACCCAGATTGTATTAATCTAATAGGACGATTGTGGAAAGCGCGGGTTGCGGTAGCGCCAGCTGCCCCACCAACCTCAACACCAACTGCCCCACCGCCCTCCAGACCATCTCGAACGGTGTCGTCGTCGGCTGCAAGTCTGACTGCCTCGTCGATTCCGACCCTAGCGACTCTCCTTCGTGCTGCAGTGGCTCGTACGACACCGCTGCTACTGTAAGTCTATGTTACCCTCCTCGATACTCTTGCTGATCACTCATGATCTCTGCCTTCCTCCAGTGCCCCAGCTCTGGCGTCCCTGATTATAGCTACTTCAAGGATGGCTGCCCCGACTCGTACGTCTATGCTTATGACGAGAGCTCCGGAACTGCCCTCTGGCAGTGCGACGGCACCGTCAAGCCCAACTACTCCGTCACTGTGAGTACTCTCTCCCTATCTGACTATCTTTGTCGCAGAGTTAACCCTATACTCTCACCAATAGTTCTGCCCTTAAACCCGACGACTATCCTTCAATATGTGTATATATCTGTACCTCTTTCCTCTCATATCACTATTACATCGCATTGTTGTTCGTCACCCTATTGGGGGTGATCCGCGGAGATTCCTCTAGGTCCCATCATGATTTCTTGGTACTCATCCTGCGACCCGCACCGTGAAAACGGATGGGAATTATTTAGATAATTAAGATGAGACGAATAAGTCGACGTCCTGAGCGAAGATGCCAAGGAAGAACAATGTGTTCAGAACGAGCAGGGCAAATCAGGATTGACGGGTGACAGGGGCACGACACAGGACAACGCTCTCGATCACCATTCACCACAACTTGGTGCGTGGCACAAGCGCTCAATCTCTTAACCTTGTGGACCTTCTTCTGGCATTGGACGTGAATGAATTAACAAGATTTCCCACGTACCCAATATATGTTGAGTCCGGGGCCCGAGTCCTCAAGATGATCGGCCGGCGAAACGTCCAGGTTGATTCCCACCCTTCCACCTCAGCCAAGAGAGCGTCTTGGCCCGTCTGCCATCAAGGGTGGTGGAAGCTTGGAGCTTTTGAGGTCTCGGGTCTTGAAACAACATCTAGGAAGCCGCCCCACGTCTTTTGGAGGGCAAACTCGGGTCAAATTTTATCGCCGCCCGAAGCCTCTCGCTTTAGCGTTGCAGCCCCAGCCAACCGAATGGCCGCCCGAGTGATCGACCTTCATATTAGAATGCGCTACCACATACCCACATGCGACTACTAGAGCTGGTACAAAAGTGCTGGACTGCCGTTGGAGGCTCCGCTAGCGCTAGCTCAACGTCCCCACCTCACTATTTGCGAGTGCCATAGCTGACGACGAACGCTCAGTCGGTTACCAACTCTCATGTCATCTTCGACTAGCTCCTCTGGCTCCCCTCAAACCATGCCTGCAGCCGAAGCACCACCCACTACCCTCCTCCCAACCGATGCTAGGCCCGATTCCCTGGCGTCTTCCGCATCGGCCACTCCGACAGTACATGATGATGCACCTGAGATGTCCCCGGCGGCTCCCCATCCAAATTCTCTACTAGGAGCTGTAGCCGCCGTCCAAACCGCAGCAGCCACCATCACCTCCCCAGATAGCACTACCCCTCCATCTCCAACTTCCACCGCACGAGACGTCGAACAGGCCGGAAGCGGGCGTCGCGTGGCGATTGCGGCTTCTGCCAAAGAAAAGGAAGCATTTTCTGAGACTGCGTCACTGGAGCTACAGGACGAGAAGTCGCAACCTATCCCAGAGGTGGACGCCAATCTCGTCACTTGGGATAGCGATGATGATCAGGCGAACCCCATGAACTGGTCCAAGAAAAGGAAGTGGGTTGTGACATGGACGGTGTCGCTATTCACGCTCATGAGGTGTGTGATCTCAATATTCCCGGTCAGCGTTGCTTGAACGAAGACTCATATCCAATCTTACAGTCCAATCTCGTCGAGTATGATGGCTCCCGCCATTCCAAATATCTCATACGATGTAGGGATGGATCCCAAATCGGTCCTTGCCTCGTAAGTAGCCGCAATTATGCAATCGATAACGAGACGCTCAGGTTTACTCACACCCTTCGGGAAAATAGGATGTCCCTCAGCATTTTCGTCCTGGCATATGCCGTTGGCCCTCTGTAGGCCCAATTCCAAGCGCTCAAATCATACAAACTAATCCTCTTCTAGGCTTCTTGGCCCGCTCTCTGAGCTGATGGGTCGAACACTGATCCTTCAAGTGTCAAACCTTATGTTCTTGGGTTCGTAGGATCCCTTTCCGGAAACCTTGAAGTACTAAGCAGTATTTTGTAGTTTTCAACATCGCCTGTTCACAAGCCCAGACAACCACCCAGCTGCTTATCTTCCGCTTCCTCGCTGGATTCGGCGGTTCTGCACCACTCGCAGTGGGAGGTGGAGCACTCTCGGATATGTTCAAAGCGGAGGAGCGAGGGTAGGCGTTTTCTATCGATTCGTTCCCCTTGAAGAACTGCGTAGCTCACAACTAATTATATCTTCTATGCGTTTAGTGCCGCGAACGCTATTTACTCAATGATGCCGCTCACTGGTCCTGCACTCGGCCCAATAGCAGGCGGGTGGATCGCAGAGAAGGTTTCATGGCGATGGGTTTTTTACTCAACGTCGATTGCTGATGGTATCGTGCAAGTTATGGGATTCGTACGTATAGTCTCGTCTCCTGGTCGTGAGCTTCCTCCCTCTGCCCGTCCAGGTGCTGACAATTCGGTTCATGTATGTCAATGCACAGTTTTTCCTCCGCGAAACTTACGCTCCAAAAATTCTCGGCGACAAAGCAGCGCGTCTACGAAAGGAGACGGGGAACGATAAACTGCACACCATCTATGATCGCCCTGACCGGACATATAGGCAGGTCGTGAGGACGGGCTTGTACAGGCCTCTTGAGTTTCTACTCAAGGAGCCCATCGTACAAGTTTTTGCGTGCTATCAAGCAGCACTATACGGTTAGTCCCTCCCTTTCCTGTTCAAGCGACTGTTTCAATGGCCGAACACATTTCCTGACTTTTATATTGGTCAGGCTTGATGTACCTCACCCTGACCACATTTGCGGAGCTCTGGACTCTCAAATACGGGATGAGCGTTGGTATTGGCTCATTGAACTACATCGCTTTGGGACTTGGGTTCTACATTGGCGCAGTCGTGCGTGCTACATCTCGCAACTCATTCCTACAGCTGAATGACAAGGATTAATCGTGCCCTCCTTTTTCTATTCGCTTTGTCCCTTCAGTTTGCCGCCAAGATGATGGACAAGACGTACGCAAAGCTGAAGGCTCAGAACGGCGGTGTGGGAACACCTGAAATGAGGTAAAATCAGCATATCATCTTCGTGGACAAAGCACTAATCTATCATCATCAGAATACCACTTATGATCATCACGAGTTTCTTGGTCCCTATTGGTCTAGTCATCTATGGCTGGACGGCAGATACGATCGTGTTTTGGATAGTACCCGATATTGGGGCCATGATATTCTGCATAGGTTAGTAATGACCTTGAGCCCACAAGCGATCAATTAAGTGTCAGATACTAACTGATGTACGCCTAAATTAGGGATAATTGGTGCCTTCATTTCGATCACTACATACCTCATCGATAATTACACCATCTATTCCGCAAGCGCCTTGGCCGCTGCTGCTGGCTTCCGTTCACTCGCTGGTTTCGGCTTTCCTCTTTTCGCGAGTAAGCTTATCCCTTCTGCGTCCCGCACTATGATCGACTTTGCTAATAGGCTCTCTCACCTGTGTACAGACACCATGTTCCAAACCCTTGGCATCGGTTGGGGCAACACCCTTTGCGCCGGCATCATCGTTCTTTTCTTACCCGCACCCTGGATCTTCTATCGTTACGGACCGTGGTTACGATCCCGGAGTCGATATGCACGTCGTCCATCCCCAACCTCGACAGGCGCGCCCGCAGCTTCGACTGAGAATCCAAGCACAAGCAGAACTGTGGGGACAAGAGCGGGCTCAAGACCATTAACCGCGAGGTATTCCGCTCGGGTGTCACAGGTACTAAGAAGCGGGTAGGATGGGGCACTAGAAACATCAATATTCTACCTCCTCTCCTCAAACCTTCCTGGCTCCATATTTTCCTTTTATTTTGTACGAATCAAGTGCCACGGGGTGTTCTTAGATTTACGACAGAGATCGACGATTAAACTCAAGCGCTACCTTGCCTTGAGGGAGGGCGCATCAAAATGCGCCTCTCAATGATTTTCTAGAGCTAGTATACCTGATTTTTTTTTTTACCAATGCATCACCAGAAATTTTGCACATTACGATGGTTCACCATAACCCCAGTCAAAAAGTCATCCAAATCCTTCATGATTTGAAAGATAGTCTCTATGTCTCACACTAACAGACCACGGAACCAGCACTAGCTTTGAAAGTGCGTCGTCCGAGGCAAAGATGCTGCAGGGAAAAAAATTGCCACGAACCTGGATTGAACAGGTGACCTATGCATTGCGTCAGAAACTTCAGTGCAGCGCTCTCCCAGCTGAGCTATCGCGGCGAATCCGGTAAATCAATAGATTCAACGTATATATTATATTTTGTACTGGGAGCTCTCTTGTGCACCAGCATTATCCCCTGACAAGAGCCTTTGTCCACACACCCAGTCCATCACATTCAGTTTCAGTTCGTATGGTGATAATCGTTGCCGGCGGGAGAAAATGGGGCATGGGTCCGCTCACGTGATACCAAATTGTGAGATATGCTCAAACGACCTACGAGAGCTTCAGCAACCTCCATAGTGGGATAAGTAGGCCGACATATCCCCAAAATGGTGGCGCATGACTAAAAGTAAGCTGGTGAAGCGATACTGACTGAATGGCCCCCGCCGAGTGCTAAAGTGATAACTCAGGCTTCCTAATTGCAGGTGCAATGTCGATGAAATGTGCAAAATGGATATGATAACTTCCGGCGACACGTCTCTACCAAAGTACCATCGGCTTTGAAATGCGCTTCCGAATGAGTTCGTCCGCTGGCGTCCTGCACTGGCAAAGCTCGAACTCGAGTATAGCTCTGTCTAGGAACGAACCCACGTTTAGAAGCTTACTCTACAGGGGTGAGGCGAAAGGGCTAGAGCTTTGGGAGGGAGAGACGATGTTTTTGGATATACCCTCGTGTCCTAGTCAGCCTGTCATTTCGCGGGTTAGGTTGCTTACCGCTCGCTCGAGCTGTCATAAATACCAAGCAACATCTTGAGCCCATCCGTGCCTGGCATTTCGAACCCCTTCTCAGCTATGTACTTGTTCTTTGTAGCAGCTACGCTGTTGCACTGCGCAAGAGCCATAACGATATACACGACCTTCACGACGAATGCCAAAGGCGAGCATATACCTCCAACAAATACGAATACTGCAACAGGTCCTGCTTACACTGGGTACACTGGTATGCGCCCTGTGACGAGCCCTCCATACTCTCGTTGACCCTTATTATCGATCTATAGCCTACAATATGACGACCCTGCCTCCCCCTCCTCTACCAAACCCTCTGCCGTCCCTGGAGTTTACCGCCTCTCTCCATGCCTGTATAGCAAGCTTTATCATTCCAGCATATAAGCAAGACCTAAATGTTTTTCTTTATTTTATCTTTTCATAGCTGGAGCCAACGGACTCAGCATACCGCAGAAAGGAAACTTCATGGGGTGGTCCATCGAGTTGTCTGTGGCGAATCAGTTCTGTGCGTCTCCGCTACTATTCAAGGGCTTCAACAACTCAATTTCTTAATCTCAAAACGGGATAGTGGCAAGGAACTCGACTCGTAAGTGCGAAATAACGACCAAGAGCTCGAGATGTGTACGTTGACGCCTTGTCCCTCAAAAGGTCTCCACGTCCCTTTCCTTAACTACATTAACAACATTAAGGCCCGCGCAGGTGCAGGACCCACCATTCGAGTTGGCGGTAACACCCAAGAGTTGACAGAACTATTCTTCACCCCATTCAACTCTCACTATGAGATCATCGATAAGACCGTCCTCGTCAACACCAGATCGCCGGTATGCGTCTTCAGCTGCTAATTGCTCGCTGCTCACCTAAACTGTCCAACGCACGCCTGATATCGAAGACGGGGACACCACAAACCAATATTTGGATCGACTTTTTGTATACACTTGGGAATATCACAGCACTCACATCGGCGAACTGGTATCTTGGCCTACCGTTCGGATACCCTGTGAATGTCACCGGGATAGTGTCGATTGCCGAGATATCTCAGCAGGTGTTGGGGGATAGTCTATTGGCACTTCAGCTTGGTATGATGCGATTGTCGCGGTTTTGAATCTCAACACGTTGACGCGACTATATCCTGAAGGCAACGAACCGGACCTCTTTGGCGCTGGCCTTCGCGGACGTCCAACCTCATATACTGTCAAAGAATATATGGCAGAGTTCAGCAATGTGAGCCGACACAAACGGAGATGCTGTGGACGCCACTAACTATTGCGTCCTGCCGATTACAGGTCACGAACGCTATGCTCGGGGAGTCTTCTCTGCTGAGGCAGAAGATCCTCGTTGGGCCTAGCACTTGCTGCGAAGTGCTATGGGATTGGCGTATTAGCGACGTCCTCAGTGCTGGTTACTTGTCCACTTATTCCGAATCGCTCTCCCATCTTGCCGTACAACGATACCCCACCGCTAATTGTCCAGGGTCAGCCCCCGAGGTAACCGAAGTGTGGCCTAATTACTTGCGACACGACCTATTTATAGTCAACATACTGACAAGTAACGTGGTGAATTTCACCGTCGCTGCTAGTGAGTGATATCGTCAATAAGTAATGTCCCTTCACTTAGACCTTTGCGTTCCCAGAGGCTGCTGTAGCAGCCAACATTCCCCTAATCATGTTCGAGACCAATACGGCATCATGTGCGGGCTACTCAGGCTTGTCGGACTCGTTCGGTGCGGCGCTGTGGGCTGTCGGTACGTATCCACTGCTTGATTCTTGCTATCGCCTTGAAACTAATCTATCCTCGTAGATTGGACCATGCAACTTGCATACCAGAACTTTTCTGGGGCACTATTTCACTTCGGCGGCCAAAATGCAGCTTACAATGGTGGAGTGTTCAGCATCATTCCATGATTGAAGTAAGGCTGACTGACTACTCTTCTAGCTTTCACTCCTCCTCCCTCTAGCTACAGCTCACTTCACCAATGGACAACGGGGCCTCTCTGTACGTGATTTAGCGCGGAAATTTCTTGCGAGTTCGCTCAATCTTATTTTTGCGCTAGATTACAGCATGTTGATGGTAGCAGAGGCCCTTGGTGCGACGAACACCTCGCAAGTCGTCGATATGCGACCCAACGATAATAATCCATATACGCCAGGTTATGCCATTTACGAAAATGGTGTACCTGCTCGTGTACTCCTCATCAACTATATGGACGATCTCCAGACTGGCAATGCTACCTACACTGCGTCGGTTCAATTCAGGGTTATAGACGACTTGACCGATACTGCCCCGATGAGCGTCCAAGTCCGATACTTGGCGGCACCGTCTGTATCGGAGAAGTTCAACATTACGTGGGGCGGGCAGAGCATGGGTGGCGGCCAATTTGTCAGCGATGGGCGGCTCTCAGGAAGTGTGGTCACTCAAACGGTGCAGTGTAGTGCGGACAAGGGATGCCCGATTACCGTTCCTGCACCGGGCGCCGCGCTCGTGTTCATGAGCGCGCAGGCGGAGGATGAGAGCTGGGATTCGTCACTCACGCAAACCTATGCGACCTCTGTATATCCTCATGGGATACAGATGAACCCCGATGGGCTAGTGATGAGCAACGGGCGGGGAGGCCCGAAGCAAGCACAGCACCCGCTGGGTCTGGGGACGAGCCGGGGCCGCTCCTACGTTAATGCGTCACCACAAAATGCGGAGATTGACGTGTGTACGATCCTTGGTGCTATAGTTTCCAGCGGGACGATGATTTACAAAGCCCTCCGCGCTGCAAAGACAAACTATTGATACACATCTAGATCAGAATCTGTTCATAGTTCAGCCGCTAAAATCTGCCATCTTGCAATAACTA